GTTGTTTATTTCTGTTGTATTTATTGGTTCTTGTGGGGGTATATAAATGGAAAGAATTTTGATGGTTTTATCTAGTGTCACTTGTGTTGCTATTGCTTGTAATTTAGTTTTAATGTGTACTTTACGGTATGTCATTTCTAATCAATATTGACACTCCTCCATTAGCTCTATGTCCTGTACTGTGGTTATAGTGGTATTGTTTATAATTTTTAATTTTTAAGTTAGCATTTTCTTGTTAATAAGTTTCCTGTAAGAAGATGATGGCTGGATACAGTAGTGACATAAGTATGAGTAGGTCATTGCAATTAGATTTTATTCCACGACAGTTCCATTGCATGATCTTATGTGCCATAGTTATATTTTCATTTTTGGGGGGTAAAGTTACCTTCTAGGTTTATATCATTTGTCTTCTCCAGTTTTTTTCCAGCTCTTGAGTTTTTTGAATCTTTATCTTCAACTACTTGTGGTGTCCTTCGGTCAGATTTTTGGTTTTGTTTTGGAATTTGCTTATTTTCATTCTCTCCTATTTCCATATATTCCAGAGGTTCAAATTTATTTTCATTTGATATATTGATTCTTGATTTTGAGTTAGATCTTGATCGAATGTTTTCTTGTTCTGTTGTCATTTTTTTGGCTTTTTGTTTATTTTTCATTTTCTTGGTTTGGGAAGAAGAGGGTTCGCTGGAGTTTTGTTCTGTTTTCTTTCCAGAGTTTTTTGCCTTTTTCTGGGTTAATTCCATTTGATTTGGGTTGTTGAGTTTTATTTGACTTAAGTTTGGTTAAGAAGGTTTTTAATTCTTCAAGGAAAGATTTTAATTCCTTATATAAATTTGTTATTTCAGTTGAATCTTTTATTTTATCTTCATTGTTTATTTTATTTGCTTTTTGTACCATGGAGGCGTAGGTGTTTTCTTTTATGTTATTTTTAACTTCTTTTTGTGCTTCTGAGAAAGATATTTTTTTTGTGTTTTATTCTGATTATTTCTTTTTCCTGTTTATAGATACTACATTGTTTTGAGAGGGCAGAGTGGTTTCCCAAACAGTTTGAGCATAGGCTTTCATTTGGACAGTTCTCTTCATGTTCTGGTTCTTTTTCACTACATTTGCCACATGAATCTCTGTGATGTCCAAATTTGTGGCATCTATAGCATTGAAGAGGGTTTGGTATGTATTGTTCCACTCTTATAATTTCATATCCAATTTTAATTGTTGTCGGAATTTGGGGGGAGTTGAAAGTTAGAATGTAGGTATTAGTTTGTATCTTTGCTTCATTTTTCTTTGCGATTCTTTTGACGTTTGTAACACCTTGAGTTTGGAGTTCTATTTTTATCTCCTCTAGAGTGCACAGGGAGAGCTCCTTGCTTTTTACTACACCCTTTGAGAAATTTAGGGTTTGGTGTGGGTAGGATTTTATTTCTAGTAATTTTTTTGTCTTATTAGTGTATCTGCATATATCTTTTTTTCCACTTCCACTAGTAATGTTCCATTTTGTAGTTTTTTTTACATTTTTTGGTATGATTATATTTGATATAGCTTTTTGGATTTTAAATGGAGATATTTCAGTTAGTGCTTTGTTGCTTATTGCTTCTAGAACAATAAATCGTGAAAAGTTTTCATTATCATTTTCTGTTTCAGAGTCATTATCCACATGTGGTCTCTTGGAAGATTTCTTTTTTTTTTCCATTGATTGTTTTTATTTTTGTTCATCATCCACGCTCCCTACCCACCGCAGAGTCCAGTATTGGGACATGACAAGGGGGAAACCCATTCGCCTTGCCATATCGGGGCTACATGAATAGTATACTCTCTTTGGTCTTTGAGCACACGTGTTCCTTTGTTTCCGTTATCCAAGTTTTACGGCTGTGAAGGTTTAGCAGGTGTGTCAGATCCTTTTTTCTCCCAAATTGATTGACCCTCAGCCACCGCCTTCCATCATATATTTAGGGGTAGGTGTTAGTTTTGGTTGGGAAGAGGAGTGTAAGTTATAGGTTTAGGGTGGATTATATATGATGGGGCTTGACATGACCAGCCGATTGATCGGACTGGGCCCCTCTGACCGCCTGTCTAGCCTAGGTAAGGGCCAAAGTTGTGACCACTTTACACCTGGGTTACGACCTGCTCACCACCAGGATCCCGTCCCCAGACATTATGGGTCACCACCCATGGCCCACAGGCGGCCCCATTGAGAGACTTTTACCCTCTGCAGGGGGGCAGTCGGCGTATTCTGATGCCCCACCAACCAGGTGGGAGTCTCTGGTCTGAATAGCTTAACCAGTGGAATGTGGGACAATCTAATAAGTCTATATCGACCCTTCTAACTAACATTCTATCCAGGTAGCTGGCTACCTGGGTAGACGGCCACTTACATGCCCACGTCAAAACATCCCCTCCCTAGGATGATTGACTCAGTATCTATTGACAAGACCGAACTCGCCAATCAGATCACCCAGGCTACGATCACCCAATGATCTCACACTAGCTCCCTGTCTATATCAGGGTCCAGGATAGCATTCCAGTCTCCTACTAAGACTAAGCATGACGAATCCACCAGGAACAGCCCTAACTGCCAATAAAATGAGCATCGATCCATCTGGTTGGTGTGCACATAAGCCACAACAACCCGAAATGAACTATTGTTCCCGGCAATATCAGCCACAATCAATCACCCCCGATTCCACCTTTGGGCACATGGTATGTTTAACCAGCAAGGAAACTGTTAGTCCCTGTATGCTGAATAGACAACAAAGTCACTAGACAGCACATGCGCATCAACTTTGCAAACAAAGTGTGTCTCCTAGATTGCGTCTGTATCTACGCTGAAGGACAGGAGATCACAAAGCAGGTGCACAGCCTTACTCTGATCCCTCAAGCACCTCACATTGAAACTAGCTAACTTGAGAAACATTTTTTTAAGTTTGGATCCCCTAATCACAGACTGCGGTAGTCAGGACCCCAATGGATTGTCCAGGTTACCTGTTTCCAACTCTGTCGTCATGCGACCATCCAGAACAATCCTGCCAACATCTGTGAAGTATGTTAGTTTTAATGCCCCATATAATGATGGGTGGAGAAGTACTGGGACCCTCCCTGCACAAAATCTATGTAATTTTTTTTAATTCTGGTGTGCCCAACTTGAGCCATCCTTATCTCCGGATAGGAGACTTTAGCCTCAAACACAAGGGACCATACCTTTAAGTATTTTTCCAGTGTCCCTAATGATTGGCTTTACTTGAAAAAGGGTTGGTTTTCTCTCAGGGTTTTATTTCCCTTAGATAACCATGTGTTTCCAGGTTAATGAGTTCCAACTTCCTGTGTTTGGAATTTAGAGTTTTCCTTCTTTTAGGCATCAAATGCTGAAGAGACCAGTTCGTTCTACTATTTATCCCATAGTTGTATGGAGAAGAAATGGATAACTTTCCCAAGGGTATTTGCATGAAAATCAATGCAATAAACGTGATTGGAATTTGAACTCAGCTCACCAATTTCTTATCCCAAGCCATTAACCATTGTCCCACATGCACATCCCATCAATTATTGTAATCTGGCGACATTACTGGTGCATTTAATGTATTCAATTAAAATATTCAGGATGATGCAATTTTACTATCAGTATATAAGATGGCTGGCTGCTTGTTCTGAAGTACACCAATCTGATAGGGTAGCTAAATAATGCCTGTATTTTTTGTTTTTTTTTATTCATTCATTTTTTTCATAATCAATTCACCCCAAGCAAGGCAATAATGCTACTAAGGTGCAAGGGGTTACTTGCAGTGAAATAGAATGAAAACACTTTAGAAGGAACTGGAAACCCAATCCTAAGCAGGAAACAAGGTATGAACCTCTATTCCTGTTCAAAATTCAAAAGAGTGTGAACCGGATGATAGGCATAACTATCTACTACTATTGAGGAGAAAAAAATATTTATAGTACAGGCAGAGAAGTTAGATCTATAGAGCTAAAGTAGACTTTAGAAGGAACTAGAAACCCAATCCTAAACAGGAAAAAAGGGACAGATACTTCTCAGGTACATTTGTATTTCAACACCCACAGTGCCAACCTTTGGATTATATTATAACTATGCTGTATAGGACTTAGTTACAGTTTCTGAAAAGAGCACATAATTTGACATGACCACTAGTTGAACAAAGCCAGTAATGTCAATGGTCCTTATTTTACTCATTATTATGGTGTTATGTAGAGCCATGAATAATCTCCAGGCTGTGCCTTTCTATTTTTAAAAAGGGACATCTGGTCAAACACTACTTTTATAATAAAGTTATTTATCATTCTTAATTCTGTTTTAGTGGATATTCCCAACTCAAGACATTTGTTAGGGATCAAACCAATAATAGCATCACAAATTTCCACAAACTGTTTCTATAAAGGCAGGTAATCTTTACGAACCTATTCTGTTTATTTTCTTTTCAATTTTAGAATGGAAACAAATCACTTTATAGTATCAAAAAAAGAATTAAACCATTTTGATAATATAAAACATTTAATTATTAAGATATTTCTACAGTGAAATTCTGTTCTCATGATATCTGTTCAGAAGTATGATGCTTTTTGTATCTAGTGTCATTAGCTGTGTTATGGTTTCTTGGCAACATTCAAACTAAATCGCTGCAGCCCCAAAGATCCAATGGAAAACCTATCAAATTTATGACTAGAAGATTTGCCACATTTTTAACTTCACAATTTCTTTTGTTTGAATAAATTATGTTCATCACAAAAAAAAAAAAAAAACCTTTCAGCCTCGACAGAACTTATGGCAATGGTATTAATTACATTTTTATCTTTTACATATTAGCTATTAATATATAAGATTATTTTTGGATGTCATGATTTTAAGAATTGGTTTGTGCGACCACTAGATCAAACTCATTAATTATCAAGGAGACTAAGGTGCTAACTCTTGCTACATGATGAAGCACCTAATAAACTTAGACACCCAATGATAACAAGACACCCCACCACCACAAAAAAAAAAAATTACTCACCTTTGCTACCCTTAGTAACATTTCTCGCTCTTGCTCTTCATGCCTTTTCTTTTCCAGCCGGTCAAGCTCTTCAAAGTGTTTTAAGATTGCTCGGACATCAGATTTTACTTCATATCGACTATCCATCTGAAAGGAAAAAAAAAAAAAATAAAAGCTCAGAAAACACTCTTTAGATATTTTTTTTTCTCTGTACTAATTGACTAATATCAAAATCAAAGACTGTATTGTAAGTAAAGTAACTTTCCCGAATTTGGAAGAGGTTCATTTATAACAGTAAAATATGAGGGCTCGCAGGAGTGGAATTTCAATTATATATTTAAGCATAATGCTGACAAGAATATGGGATGACAAACTGAAAAGAAGGAATGTGACAAGTGACTTTAAGAATCCATGACTTATGATTTAATGTTTTAGCCTAAATACATGAAAAAAAAAAAAAAAAAAAAAAATGAGAAAGACAAGCAAAGGAGATTTATTACAAGTGAATGGCTGACTAAAATTGTCAGAAACATTACCAAAAACAATAAGTTTTTCTATTGGCAATGTGGTATTTGTTATAAATGAAAGAAAAAAAAAAAAAAAAACATTGATCATTTCCAGATCAACAACACATTCTATTTGCAACCTTGATCCAAAATTTTTAAGCAAATAAACAATCAAACCAACCAGACAGACAGACAGAAAGAAACACAAAAAAAAAAAAAAAAAAAAAAAAAAAAAAAAATACTCACTTTGTATATTTCAGACCGATGCTCTGCAATTGTTGATAGTTTTTCAAGAAAATCTCTGAGTCTTTCTTGTGTTGCATGAGATATTAAATTAATAACATCTGAGGGTACTTCATCAATGCCAAATTTTTTTGCTGAAAAACAGACAGACATTTTCAGGGAAAAAGCAAATAAACAAAAAACACTCATTGCAAAAAAGATTTCATTTCCTCTTTAATACAAAATGTTTCCTTAAAAGTCATTTTTTAATAAACTCTAAAAAGGATACCATTTTACTCCAATTCATCATCAAAAATCTTTACTCTGACATTTTTTGATCACAGCTTTAAAAGAACTTTGTCCCAAATTAACATTTCTCATACAGATCTTATTGGAGTGGGAGTTGCTTTGTTTTCTCATATTACCATGATTGTGGACCCAAATATCTATGAAGTGAAACCAAATTCCAAGTAGTAATCATTATATTAAAATGATTTGTTATTAAAAACTATATAAATGAGAACAGACATATGAGAGGCCACGATTCTTAAATTACAAATAAACTTCCTTTACATATTTGATATTAAGGGCAGTATGTTTCAGTGAGAAAAAAAAAAAAAAAAAAGCAAGAAAATTTTACAAGTTTAGGTGAATGTAATTGCTTGGATAAATTTTCATTCTGAGACTGACAGTGGATGTTCTGTCAGTATTTTTTTAAAATCCTTAAAATCTGGCAAAAGCTTAATTTCTACAGTGGCTGTCTTTTGAGATGAATATGCCTATCAATGTAATAATGTATTAGTGTGTATACTTTTTTGTGTTAAACATTGAAAATTGGATTCATAAAGATTTGTCTATGTATGTTGTATCTTTAGCCACATCAAACTGAATCTGAAGTTTTTCTCAACATGTGCCACTTGCTGCTTCAAACTTACTTTTGTGATAGTGACTTGACTGGGAAATGCTTGAAATAATGAATTGGACTTCATGAATTCTAATCCTATTTCAACATGGTAGAATGATTTTGGATAATATATAGTAATTGGTGACATACCTATGGCATTAGTTTTACTTGACAATGGACTGTGGTAGAGGAAACATTCGTCCTTACACGACCGGGTCTGAGTACCAATAAACTCAGCATTAGTAGCCATAATATTGCGAGTTTCTTCAGAAAGATTAACTCCACCCATTGTAGCAACATCATTAATATCATCGTCCTCTCTAGAAAGGAAAATAAGAAACAAAATTGAGAAATGTTTAGTTTTCATTTACATTTTTGTTAAGACAAATTGATGAAGGAACACATGCACATGGAAAAGAGACAGAGTTTGGGGACATGGTCACAGTAAAGAGAGGAGACAGGAACACATATGCAAAATATACTGAGAGAGTTCGGGAGAGAGAGGGGGAGGAGAGAGAGAGAGACAGGAGAGAGAAACAGCGGACTAGGGGAGGGAGACATGGAAACAGCGGACTAGGGAGGGAGACTGGAAACAGCGGACTAGGGAGGGAGACTCGAGAAACAGCGGACTAGGGGGAGGGAGACAGAAACAGCGGACTAGGGGAGGGAGATGCGAGAAACAGCGGACTAGGGAGGAGACTGTAGAACAGCGGACTAGGAGGGAGACTGGGCAGAAACAGCGGACTAGGGAGGAGACCAGAGACTAGGGAGGGAGAAACAGCGGACTAGGGGGAGGAGAAACAGTGGACTAGGGAGGGAGAGATCATGAAACAGGACTAGGGAGGGAGAGAAACAGCGGACTAGGAGGAGACTACAGAAACAGCGGACTAGGGAGGGAGACTGCGAGAAACAGCGGACTAGGGAGGGAGACTGCGAGAAACAGCGGACTAGGGAGGGAGACTGCGAGAAACAGCGGACTAGGGAGGAGACTGTAGAAACAGCGGATCAGGGAGGGAGGGAGGAGACTAGGGAGGAGACTGGCAGAAACAGCGGACTAGGGAGGGAGACTGCAGAAACAGCGGATCAGGGGAGGAGATCAAGGAAACAGCGGACTAGGAGGAGAGGGAGCGGACTAGGAGGCGAACAGAAACAGCGGACTAGGAGGGAGACTGCGAGAAACAGCGGATCAGGGAGGGAGACGGCAGAAACAGCTGGGAGGGAGACAAGTAGAAACAGCGACTAGGGAGGAGACTGCAGAAACAGCGACTAGGGAGGGAGACAGCGCGGACTAGGGAGGGAGACTGCAGAAACAGGACTAGGAAACATGGACTAGGGAGGGAGATCACAGAAACAGCGACTAGGGAGGGAGAGGGAGAACAGCGGACTAGGAGGTGAAACAGCGGACTAGGAGGGAGGGAAACAGCGACTAGGGGAGGGAGACAGGAAACAGCGGACTAGGGAGGAGAGACAGGTGGACTAGGGAGATCACAGAAACAGCGGACTAGGGAGTACAGGACAGCGGACTAGGGAGGAGACCGAGAAACAGCGGACTAGGGAGGAGACTGGGAAACAGCGGACTAGGGAGGAGAAACAGCGGACTAGGGAGGGAGACTGCGAGAAACAGCGGACTAGGGAGGGAGACTGCGAGAAACAGCGGACTAGGGAGGGAGACTGAAACAGCGGACTAGGAGGAGACTGCGAGAAAACAGCGGACTAGGGGAGGGGGAAACAGCGGACTAGGGAGGGAGACTGAGAAACAGCGGACTAGGGAGGGAGGGAAACAGCGGACTAGGGAGGGAGACTGAGAGGAGAAACAGCGGACTAGGGAGGGAGAGGAGAAACAGCGGACTAGGGAGGGAGACTGCGAGAAACAGCGGACTAGGGGAGGGAGAAACAGCGGACTAGGGAGGGAGACTGCGAGAAACAGCGGACTAGGGAGGGAGACTGCGAGAAACAGCGGACTAGGGAGGGAGACTGCGAGAAACAGCGGACTAGGGAGGGAGACTGCGAGAAACAGCGGACTAGGGAGGAGACTGCAGAACAGCGGACTAGGAGGAGACTGCAGAAACAGCGGACTAGGGAGGGAGAACGAGAAACAGCGGACTAGGGAGGAGACTAGTAGAAACAGCGGACTAGGGAGGAGGGAAACAGCGGACTAGGGAGGGAGAGGAGAAACAGCGGACTAGGGAGGGGAAACAGCGGACTAGGGGAGGGAGCCTCGAGAAACAGCGGACTAGGGTGGGAGACTGCGAGAAACAGCGACTAATATGAGAAAACAGAGTTTTATTTAAATGTCAGTTAGAGTGTTATTGTGAGGATTGAGATAAGACTAAAAACGACCATGTATAAATAAAAAAGTATGTTTTCTTACTTTAAAGACTCATATTTTCGTTTTTCCTTGTGTATTGAAATTTGTTCCTTCTTTTTAGGCATGTGGGCAGGTAGACTGCTGACGGGTGTGGGTAATGTGTTCAGCAGATTTGTTTTCCCAGTTGTAGACGCCACAGTGCTAAAGTTGCCTTTGTTCATTGTGATACCTGTGTGGGCCATTGTAGCAGTTGTCGTCACTTTCCCTGGGTGTCCCCGTACTTGTACATGACCAACTTGGCTGCCAGGACAAATCTGATGTTTTACAATAGTCTGTACGATGAAAAGTAAAGAAAAAGGTATAGAAAACTCAAGATTAATGATGAGCTGGAACAAAACAAAACAAAACAAAAAAAAAAAAAAAAAAAACCATTACTGGGAAGAAAAACCTAATTTCAAATAAAAACAGAATGAGTCAGTTGCATTTATTCTGCAACAGCTTAACTGACTGAAAACATGGTGTAGAAAATGATATTGTTAAGACATGTTAATTGAATCAATTATGAAGTTAGTTCTATTCATTTATTTGTAGAAAAATCATAACTATAAAGAGTGAAACATTTTACATTTGAATGGAAATTAAATGATATCGGCTCGATTGGAAACTCCTTTAATTAATGACAATTGCAGAGAAATTTTAAATGACACTATAAATAAAACCTTTCAATATTCCTGTGTGCTTTTAACAGCAAGGAGTTATTTCCCCTTAAACAGCTTACAGGAATATTGTTAAGCTTTAAAGTTGTTACATCTAATTAAAATATCTCATACATGTGATAGCTTGTTGAGTTGATAACCAGTATCATTTTCTTTTGCCATCAATAAAAAAAAATCCTTAGAAAAAAAAAAAAAAAAAAAAATTTATTGGCACTTCCCCCTCCCCGCCATTTATTGAACTGCATTAGAAAACTGCAATTTTTGTAAACAAAGTTGCAAAAAAAATAAAAAATACATATACATAAGTTCAGTATGAATGAAATGAAAGTAATATTTTTAAACATTGAACCTTACCTAACTTAACCTTGAAGACTTAATTCCAAGGGAGGTAATTTAGAATAATTTTCTGTGCCCACCTTAAATGAGGGTATACAGATTAACATCAAATTAACAGATCACTGCACATTTAAGCAGAGAAAATAAAATCCAAAATATATTAAAGCAGGTAGCTATGAATAAAATTTATAACTATACAGTCTTGTTCTTGCATGAAAATATTTTTGGGACACAAACAGGGATATTGGTATCATCACAAAAGTGTCAGGCTTTTATTGAATGTCAATGGGCATCTTCACATTAAGATATATAGCACAGACATCTTGAAAGGGGATATAAATGTTAAAAAAAAAATAACTACCACATTCAATTCTAATTATGTGTGTGTGTGTGTGTGTGTGTGTGTGTGTATATATATATATATATATATATATATAGCTCCAAAGTGTGATGATGCATTCACTGGACTAAAGTGATGTTGATGTGACTACACATGTGCATAGAGAATGAATTCTGAGAATTTTGAATTTAAAGTTCTCACCCTACCCACTCTTTAAATGTAATTTTTTTTGTTTGTAAATGTATGTTTCAGCCAATTTCATCTATGTACTTTTTTTTCGTTTTTATTACGATGTAGTATATTTAATAACAAAAGTTATAAAAACATTAAAAAAAGAAACTAAATAAAATTGGCTAGACTATATACCCAAAGTAAAAAAAATAAATAAAATTCTTAATTTAAATTTAAGATTCTCAGCATCCTCTCACCTTTATATCCATGTGTAGCTGCATCAACATAAACATAACTTTAGTCTGATGAAGTCCTAAAGGACGAAATGTGTCAAATATCAATCTTGTCTGTCAAGCGTCATCAAATATCAATCTTGTCTGTCAAGCGTCATCAAATATCAATCTTGCCTGTCAAGCGTCATCAAATATCAATCTTGCCTGTCAAGCGTCATCAAATATCAATCTTGTCTGTCAAGCGTCATCAAATATCAATCTTGCCTGTCAAGCATCATCAAATATCCATCTTGTCTGTCAAGCGTCATCAAATATCAGAAACAAAAAACAGGTGAGAGGACAGAGCGTGGGGATGAGGACATATTTCCCTAGGGAATTAGAATGATAGTGCCAAGTTATGTAAAAATCATTAGTAGAGAAAATAAAATTGTCAAAGTGAGTTTGAATTTTAGCTGAGGTTACCTATCATAATAATTCTTATTCCTCTATTAGTAAGTGCCCATTTGCATTACACTTTTATTACCTCAGATAAATAATGGGCCATTCATTTTGATCCAGGAATGATGGAAGGAAAAGTTATACTTGGTTTGGCTTTAGTGAAAAAAAAGAAGAAAAGAAAGTATACATAATAAAAAAAAGAAAGGAAAGCAAGCAATAAAACTCATGCATTTAATGTCGGCTTCTGTGAAATGGAAAACCTTATCAATTTTTAATCTTTTCATTTGTACCCTCTTACTTCTTTAAATAATGACCTCCATACTTATGATTGCTATTGCAATATTTTAATAAAGTTAAGCTCAAATATTTAACCATGCAACAGGGGAATGGAAGAGTATTTCCCAAGATGGAAAAATCAAATAATGAAATAAAACACACAAAAAAAAAAAAAAAAAATCAATCAGGTTTTGAAAAATCCATGCAACCTTCAATTTTTAGGTGATTCTTTGAAATCCAGAGGTGGGACTTTTGGCTTAGTGTGTGGTGCAATGGAGGAATCAAGAACCAAGTTCAAATTCCAGTAGAATTTGTTACATTCATTTATGTACAAACACTCTCGGAAAAGGTTTAAATCCATCTCTTCTCCCTCCACTATAGGTTAGATAATAGGACAGATTGGACTCTCTATTTTTGGTTTGGTAACCAGTCTAGGAGGAGGACAATTCTGAATTCAAAGCCCAAGGCAGGTCATTTGGAGACCTTGTGGCATACCACATTGACCAGTTTTCTGTAAACAGTTCTTCCAAAATGTTTGTTTACTTCTGCACAAGACATCAACACTATAATCAAATCATACGTGCAGGTAGTCAAGCTGTTTTGTTCTAAATTTTCAACTCAAGAACAACAGGAAAGTCTATCATATATATTATTTTTTTCACTTGAGTTTAAATAAGAAAAAGGTGCCATGAATAAGAAAAAGGTGCCATGAATAAGAAAAAGGTGCCATGAATAAGAAAAAGGTGCCATGAATAAGAAAAAGGTGCCATGAATAAGAAAAAGGTGCCATGAATAAGAAAAAGGTGCCATGAATAGGTAAAAATGTTAAAGAAAATGAAGGAAAGGTGGGGTAAATACCTTGGGTTGATTTATCTTCATGTTCCTGGCATGCATAGTGTTGGTGCAGGAGATGCTCACCTGCGTTGGTTGATGCAGATGTGTACTTGACACAACACTATGTACCTGTGGCTGACCTGCTAGGTTGGTAGTTGTTACGGGTAGCGGAGTGACCCTGTTTTGAGTTTGGTTCTGGACAGTCTGCCGAGTGGAGGTTACAGTGGTTGTTGTGGGTATGGGGGATGCTGTCTGCTGGCGTAGCACCTCATGAGGTGGTGGCCGAACACCTTCAATGGACATCTTGTTCAGGTATAGCGACTGTCTTAAGAGGGGTAAACTTTTCTGTAAAGAGGAATATTAAAAGTTAAAAGGAGACAGACGAGTAGAAATGAAAAGGAAAAGTTTAAACTTTTGCTTTTTAAATATCTTTATAGCTATTTTTTATTTTTACTAATGTTCACCCAATACAAGGCCCAAGAGCCACTCAAGGCAGAGTGTTACCGTGTGGAGTTATATTAGCGTAAGAAAGAACAAGTGTTAGACATACAGATGTTGAAGGAGACTTAAGGAACCCAATCCTAAACAGGAAACAAGGAATAAACCTTTACTCTTGTTTGAAAGACTGGGAAGGAGTGTGAACTGGATGATATATTTCCATATATCAGACTACTAGCAGGTAATTGAATACCAAAATAGATAAAATCTCATGTTATGTGTTTTGGCTTTTGAATGGACTTCTTTAAACTAATAATGTTTTTAGCTATGGAATCATGTATATGTAGGAAGGAGGTAATCTAATACGGCAGAAATCAGCTACAATTTTACTCGATTATGCATCTAGATACATTGGATGCCCCAAACCAAATTAAGCGTCCTTATATCTTCAGCCTTTCTCAATGTTCCATTGCTAAAAACATCAGTCTGAAGAAGTACTTTTGGAGGACAAAACATGTAAAATAATTTTTTTTTTTCGTTTTATCATTCAATTATATAACTGCTTAAAATTTATTATATTTATAATAAGGACAAGTGCACAATATTAGACTGTTTATAGACAGAAACAATGTAGACAGAAACCAACAATGCAATCTTCAGACCACTCATTTAGCAGGCTCCTTCTCCATCTCTCATATATGTTTCATTAAAAACAGTTGACAAGGTACTGTGGTTATTTTTATTTTTTTTGTATTTAATTTTTCATGTATTATAATTTTCTTTTCTGGGCATAAATTATGTAGAAATTGATCAAATGTTTTATATGTCCGAGTGCTTTTGGCTATACTTTTAGACATTGTCAAGGATGATTTTATTTTAACTGAATGTATGGATTGTTTCATGTATGTATCTAGAGTTATAGGAATGTTTTATTTTCCCAAAATGGTCAGCATATTGTGCTTCTAATCTACCCAAATTTGTAAATAATTATACTGGATATACTACAACATGCCTTGGGCACCTCGAGGTGGGGTAATGGTTAACAAGCTTGTCTCGCTAGAACAATTATGACTGAGTAATGACTTAGATCCTCACTGGGTGCCCCATACTTCCTGCCTTGTGCCACATCCGAGCTACGCTTGGTAAATTGCTATAAGTAAACGTTGGGCACCTCGGCGTGGTGTGATGGTTAGCAAGCTTGGCTTGCTAGATCAGTTACTACTGAAAAGTGAGTTCGATCCTCACTGGATGCCCCATACTTTCGGCCTTGTGCCACATCTAAGCTATGCTTGGAAAATCTCTACTACAACATGCCTAACAAGAAAACTCACGTTACATCTCTCTGACCATGGCTCAATTAGGTCTCATTTAAATACACGTGGAGATCTACCAAGCTCTACCCACAATATACTCATTGATAACACAAATATCATCCACATGTAAAAAAGACTAAAAGTAATTGCAGCATTATTAATAAAAACAGAAAAAGCCAACACTCAATAATATCAACTATGAACACGCCCACTATATGCTGACCATATTTGGAAATTAAAACATTGCTAGAACTCTAGATTTATACATTCAGTTAAAAGTAAAATTCCATCCTTGATAATGGCTAAAAGTATAGCCAAAAGTGTTTGGACATATAAAACATTTGGATAATTTATACATAATTTCCACCCAGAAAAGAAGAAAATAAGAAAACATGAAGAATTAAATTAAAAAAAAAAAAAAAAAAAAAAATTAACTAACCGCAGTATCTTGTCAGTCGTTTTTAATGAAACTTGTATAAAAGAGGGATTGCTGCTCAAATACACAATTATATATATATGTGATTTTCCAAGTGTAGCTTAGATGTGGCTCAAGGCTGAAAGTAGGAGGCACCCAATGAAGAACAAACTCACTACTAAGTTGTAATTGTTCTTGCGAGACACGCTTGGTAACCATTACGCCGCCTCGAAGTGCCCAAAGTGATTTTCCAAGCATAGCTTAGATGTGGCACAAGGTTGAAAGCAAGGGGCAACCAGTGAAGATCAAACTAACTATTCAGTCACAATTGTTACTAGTAAGACAACCTTGCTAACCCTTATACTGCCTTGAGGAGCCCAATACATATATTTTCAGGATAACAACAGAGATATTACTCTACTTATTGAACTATTTAGTTCATGCCACATTGACTGATAAACTCCTACAAAAAAAAAAAAAAAAAAAAAAAAAATAAAATAAATAAAAAATTCTCAAATTGCCATATTTGTAAAAAACGCACTCACTTAAATTTACAAAAAATTCAACCTTACCATTGCAACTGCATGCATCAAAAACAAAATAATTTCCATGCCTGAAGATGACTTAATGTACAGTCGAAAGTACTTGCATATTTAAGAAAGACCTTACACAGCTTATAATTTAAAAAAAACAAGGATCATAACATTCGAGTGATTAGTAGGTTAATGCATCTTTAAAAGATTTTGTCAGCAAAAGGGATTTTTGCCATTTTTATATCATTAACTTTACTAATTTACTTTTTTTTGTATGAATGATTCATTATAATAAATTATATATATATATATATATATATATATATATATATATATTTGAATGAAATAAGAAAAAAAAAAATTAGAAAATTAAAATCATTAGACACACTGGGTTTGTAGATTAATATTCTTTCATTTTTTTTATTATTATTATTCCATTTAGATTCCTCGACTAGTTTCGACCGAAATGGCCATCATCGGGAGGAGAAATATATCTGCTTGCTGTTGGCAATGAACTACAGAAATGAATGTCTTTTGTTGGAGAAAATGAACTTTTGTCTGTAGTTTTCATTTGTTTTTTTTTTTTTTATTTTTCACATGAATCTTTTAACATTCCTCGTGTTGGTCAAACAGTCTCTTTTAAGTTGTTATTCGAGATAAGAACTGGATAGATACATTTTATCCTGAATTCTCTGGTCAGTTTGACAGTTTTATTGGACCTGGTGAGGGATGTGTCTCTGTTTAGTGTTTGTGTGTGTGTTATTTGGTTCCTAGGGGTGAGTGAGTATGATGTGTAAGCGTGTGTATTGCTGTAGGTGTGTGTTATCATTTGGCTCATTAGAGTGAGTGAGTATGGTGTGTGTACGTGTGTATAATCGTGTGGGTGAGTGTATAAGTGTGAGGCCTCCATTCCTCCGTAAGCATGTCTGTCTTGTGTGGGTGAGAAATGTGGGTAGGTTTTGATTTGTTGATTGTTACTATTATATGTTGTTAAATTTATGATTTAGCCCGGCTGGGTATTGTGTTTTAGACGTTGTATCCACTTATTTTCATGGGACTCTAAAATCTTTCTAATGTTATCTGCTCTGAACTTTTCTATTCTCTCAATTATAGTGAATCTGGCTTGGGTTTTGAAATCGTGTTTTTCTAGGCGGAAATGTTGTTCTACAGGTAATAACTGTTCATGGGAGTCGATTTAATTAAACTACGATAATTATTAATTCTGTAGTCAAAGGGCCATTCAGATTTTCCTACATATTGTTTCTGGCATAGTATGCATTCTAGGAGGTAAATTATGTTTTTGACTTCTACAGTTAGAATCGTGGTAGATTTTGAAAGTAGATTTAGTGATTGAGCTAGTGAATGAATTCGTGTTTTTAATATGGTTGCAACATAAACTTCTTTTTTGTTGTTACATGGTTGGGAAAATCCTGTTGTTTTTGTTCTCAGTTCCTTACCGGATTACCTTGTCCCCTGAAATGTGGTTACTACCTATGATTTCTTTTTAGGTTCTTAGGTCTGACGATATGCAAGAAGGCGGGTTCCTTAAGCAGTTTTTTAGGTCTGGTTTGAGATGTAGTATTTCCCAGCGACGTTTGATTATTTGGGATAGTGGAGGCAGAGTGGGATTGAAAGTGGTTACTAGAGGGATGCGGCTAGATTTATTTTTAATCTTGTATATTAGGGTGCCTTCTCTAGGTGTGGAAATTGCTTTATTTATTTGTTCCCTGATTAGGTGTTGTTTATAGCCACGTGTTGTGAATTGATGCTCCAGATTTTCAATGTGTTTATTTAATTCTTCATTAAAACATTGGAACATATCCTTCTGAGTCTAAGTGCTTGTGAATAGGGAAGGTTCTCTTTGAGGTGTTTAGGGTGGGAAGACTTAAAGTGTAGATAGTTGTGGGTGTCGGTGATTTTAGTGTGTAGTGTCGTTTGTAGTTTCCTGTTTTCATCTATGTAAATGCGGGTGTCTAAAAATGTTACTGATGTTGTGGATTTTTTCATAGTCAAACTTAATTGAGTCGTGCACTGTGTTTAGGGTCATAAGGAATTGGGTAAGTTTGTCATCACTACCCGTGTATACAAAGAATATATCATCGATATATCTTGCATAGAATACATGAGTTGCTACCAATGATTGGATAGATATGAGTCTCCTCAAATTTTCCCATGAATATTGTAGCATATGATGGAGCTGCAATGGTGCCCATGGCACAACCTCTTATTTGAAGGTAGTGTGCTCCATTGAAGTTGAAAGTATTCAATGTAAGGACATGCTCCATGAGTTTTATGATGACTTCTGTGGGGAGTCCTGTTTTCTTCTTTTAGTAAGTGCTTCCTGAAGGGCAGCCAGCCCTTGATGTTTTTAATGTTTGAATATAGTGACCTAACGTCCATAGTCACTAGAGTAGATTTCTCTGGTACTGTTTGTATGTGATTAATTTTGTTCAGTAGATCTGTTGTGTCTCTGATGTAGGATTTTACTTCCTTAGCTAAGCGGTTTATGTAATGGTCTATGTATTTGGAAATTTTTTGGGTGTGGCAGTTGGCGAAGAAATAACCGGCCTTCCTGGATTGTTGCTTTTGTGTATTTTAGGAAGGAGATAGAAGCGGGCAGGTGTAATGTTTGTGGGTGTAAGTGTTGTGCATGTTTCCTTGTCGATTAGATTGTTGAGAAGCATTATGTTTAGTGAGCTAGTTAATTCTTTTTTGGTATTCTGGAAGGGATCTGTAGGTATGCTTTTGTAGGTTTCTTTGTTGGCTAGCTGTTTGTTGGCCTCTTTTAATATATATATATATATATATATATATATATATATATATATATATATATATATATATATATTAGTTGGATTGATGCGAGTTTGTGAACCTGGTTTTCATGCTTTTGCTATCGTCAGGATTTTGTCTGATGATTGTAAAGTGTGAAACCCAGGTCTAAATTCGCATCAATCCAACCAAATATGTTAGCTCTATCTCTGATATTGAGCGCTTTCTAATAAGTACTGCACATATCATATATATATATATATATATATAATGTTATTGGGTGTGGTTAAGAGAAGTTGGACTGTAGAAAGGAAAAAAGTGGGCCTTACCATATCTCTTGCTGTGTTAATGCTGAGAGTTACTTATAAGTGCAACTTCCAGTTTACTCATATTTATTATTTCATTTCTTCATATATTTATAAATGTATAAAATAATAAATATGTAAAGAAAAAGGGGCTCTTTTACACCTCCCTTCCCCACTTGTTTTAATACCCTAGTAACCCAAATATATATTGTGGCAATTGGTCTGAAGAGTGCATGGAGATGTGAAACTGATTGGCACCATGCTGTGATGATTTCTATGTATGCACTGTCTACATAAAAGAGTTATTAGAAACCTGTCCATACTTACTTTGAGAAACGGAACCAAATAAGGTTGTGGAGATGACTGTAATTCTATCTGTAGCTTCTCTGTGAAACTTTCAGGATCCACTTTCCCATCCTGAAATTTAAAGACATCCAAAACTTAAAATGAAATGCATAGAAAGAAAAAAAATTAACTTTGCCATTAACCCTTTGGAGTTGAAAGCAGCCAAATGTACCTGCAAGTTTCACACGCTGATAGCCCAGGAGTGCCTGAATGTATTTCAATACACTGTATTAACAAATGTCATATGAATAACTAGATGCACTGAAAGTTATTTTCAGGGTGTGTGTCTACAAAGTTTTGGGGTGGGGGGAATCTACAAACATTTCTGGAAATCAACTTTATAAGAGATGTAGATTTTCAAAACCATATCCCATACCCAGCAGTACCAAAGAGGCTAAAATTGTTATAATTTGAGAGAAAAATCAGTTTACTTGGATTTTCTTTTGCATATATATAAAAAGACATTTTCATGTTTATACATTCTTTTTTATATAGATACAAATATTTAAGTAAATGCTCTGTTTATAATAAACAGTATTAACAACATTTACTGGCCTGAATGTCAGAGAAATTTTCATAGAAAACATGCGTCCTCAGACATGAATCGAACATGTATCCTATATGGAACTGTCATATAGCCTGACGTGCTTTACTGATTTAGCCACAGAAGAGCTTTTCAGTTAGCAAGATCGATTTTACTGTTTTTAAACTACAATTCTCCATGATTTTCTCTCGTACATTCATATTTGCTCAATGCATATCCAAATGTAAACAAATGATGTCCATATTATATATATATATATATATATATATATATATATATATATATAGAGAGAGAGAGAGAGATAGATATGGATAGAGAGATTTATATCATTTTTCATAGACACATAATAGTTGGTAACTTGAATTGAAAATAAAGATCTAACACTGAAGTAACAATTCTCATGGCTTAACTGTCATGTTAGTCAGATAAATCCTTTGGCTGGATTATCCTGGAGATTATACAATAACAAAAAAAAGTTCCAATTCACTTATACACTGATTATATTCCAAGTACAGTTATTAATAGAAACAAATAGTAAATGTGAATAAATTCATTTAATCAAATTTTCAATCTAAAAAGGCATTTACTTCCTTGTTGTTTATCTGGACACCTTGAAACAGATATTGAAAAAATATGTTTGGATAATTAAACAAAAAAAAACAACAAAAAAACTGGATAATTGAATAATTAAATTATCAAAAAAGTATGAAGAAAAAAGTTATTTTCTGAAAGAAGTTTAACATTTATATCAAATAACATTTTTAAAATGGTTTATTTAACCTTTTAGCATTCAACATGCTCAAACCTGCACTGTAAATATCGGATCTCAAAGTCTCAATGTTTGCGGTCAAAGTCTTGATGATTGTATGACTTCTGTGTTATTTGCAATGCTGTCATTATATATTATAGTAGAGTATACATGGTGGGGGGTACAGTGGGTTGAATATTGAGAGCTGATATTTATGGGGTGGGTTGAATGCTAATGGGTTATGGTTTTGTCCAGTTTATTTTGATGAAAGTTTTTTGCCCATTTCTGGCTGGCTTTGTGATTTTGCCACTAACTATTAAAACTGGATTAAAGTAGATGTATTTGTAAGGATAAGTTCTGGTTGAAAGCACAACCAACTTAAACAATCATTGCTTCAATATTTGAAATTTAAATTTTCATTGTTGTGTATGGTATTCTAAATTCTTAAAATGTTTGTCAGAGATAAAATATTAGAATAGATTTAGTTCAGGTAAAAAAAATTTTCAGCCGATTTCAATTTTTGTCTTTATTTCATTTTCTGATAAATGAAGTTCAGAAAATTGTGGAAATACTGTATATACACATTACTAGCAAATATTTTTTTTATTACACCTAACTCTTTATCCAGAATCAATTCTTTGTTTTTTCTCCAGCTATTACTGAATCTCTTTGTTTAATTGGAATTAATTAAAAAAAATAATAAAACAATACTACATTATTAGAACTAATTATAGTTAATTAATGAATCCCCTTTGTTTCTTTTTAACCAATGAGATTCATTCCTGCTAAATTCCAAATTACCCTTACTTGAGGAACTTCCTAAATCAAAACATAAAATTTAGTCTTCTAGTTGCCCTCACAGAGACAGGGCAATAAACTGTAGTCTGGGTCAAGCACTTCTTTCTTCCTCACTCAGTGCACAAGCATATGTATGCTACTACATAGCACAGTGGTCAACTCTAGTCATCACTTTTCTTAAATTTATTTTAGATAAGAAAAAACCTTGGACATTATTTCCACAAATTTCTTTCTTTTTATCAATTTATCAGTGATGTAATGGAATAACCTGCCACCCCTATGAGTGTCGGCACTATAGGTGGTAACCACCTATAAGTATCTGTTAGGACAGCAGAGTTGAGCTGGGATCTGCGAGAACTAGCGGCCTTCTGATAGCAGCACACACACACAACTGTACTCACTTGTGACGATCGTGCACATAACTATTACTTCCTTGCTTGTTGTACTGGATTCTACAATAAATCTGTTACTATTTATCCACTGTGTTCGTACATTCCATATTCCTATTAGCATGGAATATAACAATCAGGAATATCTTTCACTACATTGTTGTAAAAAACCCCTGAGGTTAATTTGCAGTATAAGCACCAAAAGAACCCCACACCACCCTGTATTGAGAATGTATCCTTCTAGCATGTAATTGCCTGATTATTTCGAGAATTACTTTAAAACATTGCACTTGATTACCATTTAGAAGTTATGGACAATGTAAGTTTGTCTTCTCTCTTGTCGTGCACACACAAGTTATTTTAAAATGCACTTATTTTTTAAAATGAAGTTTTAAATGAATAGTATTTTTTCTTTATTGTCCTTAATAAATCTGCTTACAGCTAATGAAACAGAATCTCACCCTAAAAATGTAATTTATGAAGCTTTAAAATCAAGAAACTTTCACAACAAAAAAAAAAAAAAAATTTTATTTTTTTTTTTTTTTTTAATTACTTTTCAGGCACATAATTTTTATTTTAATTGTCAGATTTTACATTTTTTTTTTCAATTTAAACTTTTCTAATTGCACAGTAATCAAGACAAAGCTTCCGCACGGCCTGACAACTTGAGGCAAACGTATGTTAACAAAGCCAATAATGGCGGACAATCCATGAAAATCATGCAGTAAGACCAGTAAGATACGAAAACTCTAAAAAGGCCTTTAACCAAGTAAGCTTCTGTGCATTACTACTAGAGGAAAAAATATGTAAATGTCAGTAATGGTGGCTAGACAACTTACTTTGATGATAGATCAAAAATGGTAAATTCACACCAGAATGGTACATTCTCATTACTGGGGCTGTTGGTGCTTATACTGCAAATTAACCACCCCTGACATAAAGATACTAGTTTAGTTATTATTCTATTTGCATTGTTACTTGTTATGTTGCACATTTTTATCTAATTTAAATGTATTCTTAATATTGTTAGGAGTATAATTCTGGTATCAAGGCCTCACATTTTATAAACCCCTTTTTTAATACAAGTTAACACCCACGGAGAATTACAACTCCCTTACAGAAACACAGAAAACCTAGTTTTTAAATAATTGGTATGCATTTTTAGGTGATTAATTTACAATTTTAAAAAGATATTTCAGATGTTATAACTTGAAAAAAGTAAATTTCATATTTTTTCAGGTCATTTGTTAATAAACTAATATTGCGGATTCAGTGAAAACAAGAAAGCTTGATGATACATCAGGACTGAGATGTGCTTATATATATATATATATATATATATATATATATAGCTAAGATACAAAGACAAACTGAAAAGTAACTTGTCAGCAGTCAATATACCACATAACACCCTTGAGCGTTTAGCTTTGGAGCGGGTAGAATGGAGATCAACGTGTTTTAGTGGACTTAGCAATTTTCAATTTGCTTGTCTGAATCATCTTCAAGAAGCGAGAGCAAGATCTAAAAGGTCAGCCAACCTAACAGTGATCTCATCTCACAATCCTCACACTTGCTCCATATGCGGCCTCCTTTGTAAATCACTAGTGGGTCTTAAATGCTACTTAAGATTATCGCACAAAATTTCATAACTGAATCAATACGATTCAGATCCTCATACGTCGAAACCGACGGGAGAGTCCATCATTATTATTATATAGCAAATAATAAAAATCCTGATGAGTTATTTAAATGTCATTAGGCTCCTCACATTGTATGTTCAACATTTGTGAACAGATCCCAAGTGACATTCCTGATCACCATGGGTATTACAGAGACTGTTACATGAGGTTTACATTAAATTTAAATCAGTTGAAAGACTGAATCTGACCCCTTGACAAGCCAAAAAAGAAAGTTTTCAGACAGCATCAAAAAATAAAATTATTTTTCACCCAGACTATTTTTTGCAAAGCAGAAGGTAAAAAGGCCATCAAAATCCAGGGCTCTTGGACAACTGAACATACAATGACATTTGAACTAGGCAGAGGTGAATCAATTGAGGCAGTTGCAAGAGAGAAAGGGGATTATGTATTACTTAAGAGGATATCTGGATTTGATTTTTCTTGTGAAGCAAAGTAGCACATGCCCTGCAGTCAAAAGTACTTGCTACAAAAATGAAACCTGTGGAGATCAAAGCATCCAGAGCAAGTTCAAAGACAATCTACCTTGGTAGAAGGTCATAAAAGAGCACTTGAAGAGGTATGTAACATGATTGATCAGGAGATCATAATAAAACAAAATATTTAATTTTTAGTACTAAGAGATCTCTACATATTGCATTTACAGGGAACACCATTTTCAAATCCAAATTATTGTAATGAAAACCTCAAGTCAAAATTGGAAACCTGTATAAAATATAAACAAAAATTATTCTGCTATAAAAGCATTCCTGGTGTCTAATACCCAAATGGACATTACTACTTCAGTAAGGACAGGTTACCAATTGGGCCAAAGTGATAAATTGAAACTGATGTCCACTGGATTCTTATCCAATAGAAGCAACTATTATGAAACATGCTAAGTCTAGAAGTGGGAGTGGTTTTTCTGGTGTAGGACTCGATGGTCTGCATACCAACTATGTTGCCTATGAACAATGGATAAAGAACTTTGAGTGAACGAGTTAAGTTCCTGCTGGCTATCTATAAATTAGTAGACAAACATGGTAGTAATCAACACAGGGATCTTAGTAGCACAGAAAAGTACAAAAGTGAAAAAAACAAGTTCTAAGAACTGTTGATGCTATCTGTAATTTCAATAAGTTCACCATGCCAGACAAAAACAAAGTTTATTGCATATCAGGAGCCCCAACCTTGGTAGAGGTTGAATATGACATACTTAAGGCTGAATCTGCTGGAAGAAAATGTAATGATTTTTATTGCAGACAGGTTGGTAATCAGTGAGAACTACTTTGATCCAATTAATTGATGGAAACTAAAGACTATCAGAAATGAGTAAAAGTCAGTGACTATCATCATGTAATAAGGAAATGGTATACAAACAGCAAGGAAATGTTGCATTTTACCTTTTAGTCTTCTCCCCAAAAATATATAATAAATTAGACTTAAAAAAATTAATGACCTATCAACATGTCCCTGTGCCTTATAGCATAGGGCTTCCAGAAAAAAAATTTTTTTTTTTTTTTTTTTAAACCAAAACTGACATATCAAAATAAAACTTCAGAAAATTCAAAAAGTTGCTAATAATCGCGGATTGAAATGCAATCTTACATTGTCTGAAAGAGATCCCACAAACTTTTGAGGAAATCTCAGAAATTATTTTAAAAATGGCATTACAAAGTGTCCTGTAATATTTAGTACTGATATGTACAAAAAAATTCTCAGTTAAAGGACTTGAACAGATAAGGAGGGGTGGTGGAGAAAAACTCATTATTGGAGGAGGGAAAATGAGATGTTCAAGAGACTGGAAGAACTTTCTTTCTAATGATGTGAATAAGGAGCAACGTGTACAGCTTTTGCTCTCGACTTGGAGTAGTGAATCATTCTTCAAAAAACTGGAGGGCCATGAAGTGACTGATTTGTGAGGGCAGAGCTAGCTTATCATTTATTATCAAATGGGACATCAACAATGTGTCAAGAGATTGTTTCACTATTCTCCACACAAGAGGAAACATACACAAGGGTACAATTATATTTTTATGTAAAAGAAAAGGGATTCTTGACTGATATTTTTTTATTATTATTTTTTTCTATGCACATAAACTGCATGGACTTTGAAGTATTATTCAAAACAGGAAAGAAAAAAGTGTTGCATCAACATCAGCAAAGCAGCTGATTTCTTGTAACAATCTACTTGGCTTTCATGCCTTCAATGGTTGGGAAACTAGAAGGTGCTTTTAAGAGAAAAGGAAAACTGAAGGCAATAAAAATTGTTGAATAAAACAAACACTTTGAGGAGGTGTTTATAAAATTAGGAGAGTCATGGAAAATAAATGAAGACATTTTAATTTCCATTGAGCAATTTACCTGTGTTGTGTAGGAATAAGCGATTTAAAAGTGTCAATGAACTGAGATTCATGTTGCAATCACAATATGGCAGAGAAGATGGGACTCTTAATGTATCAGAAAAATTTGACTTGAGTGCATTACCAGCTTGCAGTGATACACTTCGGTAACATTTAAATTGAGTCAGCTACCAGGTTTGTATTTGGAAACAGACATATATTGCTAAACCTGATATGCCTCAACCAGTCAGTGGCCATGGATGGATTCATGGTAAAAATGATGAAATGATATCAGATTGGTCTAGTGGAGACATCATACTGGTTCAGCTTGTCAATATTCTTGAAAACTTTGTTTGTAAATCTGACAGTGATAATGATGTCCACCATGAATATTTAAATGAAATGTCAGCTGACACTGACAGTTGTGATGAGAATTCTGAGGAATATTTCTAGAGTAAACTATTTTTCAAAAACAAAGTTAGGAACTCAACATTAAATCTAATTATAACCAGTAAAGAATGTAAGGCTCACAATTTGAAATGTACATTGACTCTTGTAACATTATATACACTATAAAAAAATTGACGTGTATCTTTTACGTTGATAATTTGTCTGGATAAACCTTTAATTTCCTGGGTTTGTGGTATTTGAAATTCTGATTTTTTTTGCACTATTATTCTTTTACATTTACCAATCTGATGGCATCATCAATCATTTAATTTCATTTGTTAATTTGTTATTTTTAATAAAAATTGGTTAATCCAAAGAGAATTTATTAGTTTGAGATTCTTTCCTATCTACAAATATAAATTACGTATGCCATTCAGGGGAGGTGTTAAAAACTGATGTTTTTAGTGAGGTGCAAATAAAAATATTTGCTAGTAACACATTTTTTTGTTTAACAGGATGCAAGGCTACAGGAAAATACCAATCAAGTTTAGTTTAGGGATGTAAATATTTTTTCTGTGGTTGTTGCACTTGAAATTAGGATATTTTTCCATTGATTTGATGTTTCCGCCTTTAGAGAAACCATTATTTACGATGTTTTAAATTATAATGGGGTTTTGAGATGGAATGATCATAACCCTACAAAATGATACCAAGTTTATTGAAACAGGACTATCCAAAGAAATATTATTAGCCTTAAGATTTCACCTCCCTCAAGTCCAGATTTCCTTTCGGGTTTTTAAAAACTAGTGCATTTGGTGAAGTGCAAATAAAAATATCTGCTTGTAACATGATTTTTTTTTTTGTTTAAGAGAACCCAAAACTACGTGAAACTATCAATCAAGTTCTGTTTGGGTTGCTTGGGGGTGTACATATGCAATTGTTGCACTTGAAATTAAGATATTTTCGCATCGATTTTATTGTTCCACTTATAGTGAAATCCTTATTTACAGAAGTTTTTAAGTTATAATGGGATTTTAGGATAGAATGAGCATAACCCTACACAATCATATCAAATTTATTGAAATTTGACAATCCAAAGAAAAGTTATTGGTATTAAGGTTTCCCCTCCCCTCAAATCCAGGTCTTTTTTTTTCATTGGCGTTTCTAGTATAGTGAGAACGAGTTTACTGCTAGTTAGCATGTAATTCAGGTACCAGAGGACCCTGGGATACAAGAAAATACCAAGGAAGTCTATGTTTGGTTGGGGGTAGTAGTGATGGAATTCCCTCCTAGCTCATAGCCTATTTCCTTATAGTTGGAAACAACCAGAGATTAAAGAAATATTAACATTGAATACGAATTCATGGTACCACTGTTCTGTTATCATTGTTATTTTTGCATTATAATCTGTCCAATAATAGGGTTGCTGAAAAGTTCTTAGCCCTCAGAAAAATTAGTAGCCTAATTTTTTGGTTATTAAAATAGTTATTTCTGTATCCTGACTCCAGAGTTTCGCAGACGAACCCTCTGGGAATGATTCTGTCCACTACTCAAGGGGTATCAGCAATTGACTGCTTATACTTTTCAATTTTTCTTTTCATATGCACTTTTCATTGTTGAAAGATTTTTCCCCATGGTGTATGTGTGTATATATATATATATATATATATATAAAGAAAACTTTAAAAAGATGAAAAATCAGGCACCTTATTAAAAGGTATTAAATAGTAACCTGATGTGTCTTTAAATGAGGGAAAAATGCTTAAATAAAAATTATTTCAATGTTTCTATAATAACATCATTTCATTACGTTTACCTTTTGTTTTTATTGACAAATGTAATAAAAATTTCAGAAAAACTTCACAGACTAACTATAACAAGTATTATGGGACCAAAGTAGTATTTGATTATTGGCAAAGTGAATCCAAATTATAGACAGATAAAATGTGTATATATTTTAGTGTAGACATGGTTTCAAGGACATACTCACCACCCAAAATAATCCTTGAATGATAGCATGGAGTAGAGGAAGGGTTTTACTTACAATCAGACCTTGTATGAGATCTCTGACATTCATGATCGTCTCTGGCCGCTGATTGGAGGCCAACTTCAGCAGAGTAGCCATAAAATTCTTGCATTTTCTTACATTGTCAATCATATTGCTGTTCTGACCTGTAAGGGAAGAATTTTGTGTGTGAAAGTCAAATTTCAGAATTAAAAGTGGAAAAAAAATGGTTTGTTGAGTGACCTGGAGTTTTTGCACACACCTAATACATTAATATTTTAATAAAATCAGATTAAAAGCTGAGGAAGAGTAATGGCTGTCGGCCATCAAGATTCATTCACTCTGGTTAAAAAAACTATTTGTAATTAGGAAATTAAACTCATTGAATATTCTACATTTCATAGTAGATGTTTATTGTTGTGAAAAAAAAAAAAAAATGGCATGAGGCCTAAAATTGGGGTAGGGAGGGTTAGTCTTAGCTTTTAACCTAGCTAATCCCTTCACTGTTATACTCCATTGCAATTAGATCTATTTCTGATTCATTTTTTTTACACTGGCCGGATATGAATGCTATGAAAGCAGAGAACAAAATAAAAAGTTATTTTCTGTGCATAGGCTACACGTATCACGTCTGGTCTATGAAGTGGGCTCTGGCAGCAGCCAATTATGAACATTCCTGCTGGAAAAAGAAATGCCCCTTGAAGACTACCAGACTGCTCTGCTCATCGACTGTTGCTGATCCCAGGCTTGAACGGCCACCTTGGCTGTCCGTCTTCAGCATGACAACACCTTGGTAACCCACTACCGTCACCACAGTATAACCAGGATCAGCAAAGCCAGATTCATGATTTATGACTACTCATGTTCGCACCATCATAGCCAGATTCACAGTTTTGCTAACCACTCCGGGCCATCACCTTGGCATAATCAACATGTACAAGATGTCCCCCTGCAGCCATCACTGCAGACCCATTCCACAAGACAGGTCTACTGACTTTGCCACCAAGCTACCACCACAAGCAATCCATTCAACCCACTATCGTGACACCAATCTACTAACACGCACAAGGCAGTTCCATATAACAGGCCTACCAATGCTGTCACCACAGCATAACCAACATGTACACCGACCATACCTTGTGACTTCAGCCAGCATCTAGAATAGTTCAACTCGGTGCTTTCCTCTTAACTCTGATCGTCATTTGGATAATACACCAGAAATGGACATTGCACCTATTTTGCAATATCTGTATGACACCGTCTACATACTACCAATAAATGTTGTTTGAATTCTAATCCTCATTATTCCTTTCTCTTGCAACCAAATGTTTAATATAACGACTGGTGTCAGAAGCGTGCAACGAGGGAAAGGAATATAACAACTGACATCAGTAGCAAAGGGTTAACAAACTGAACAGGACCAGGAAACCATTCTCTCTTTACCAACAATCATCTCATTCCCAACTTTGCTGAACTCACTGCCTATGAATCAGACCGAGATTTGGGTGGGGCCCTGTTCTACTCCATTGCAATTAGATCTCTTTCTGATTCATTCTGCATGCTGGCTGGATGTGAATGCCATGAAGGCAGAGAATGAAATAACCAAAGTCATTTTCTGTGCATTAGGCTCCACGCATCATGTCTGGTCTATGAAGCAAACTCCGGGAGTGGCCAATCGTGAACGTTTCTGCCAGAAAAAGACATGCCCACTGAGGAGTACCAGAGCTGCTTAGAAGCAGGTCTCTGAGAACAACCAAGTCAGTGGAGGGCCAGCAGTCCACCAGCTGTCAAGCAGGGTGCTGATACTGCCGTCACCATCAATGCTGCCTCTCAACATAACCACTCTTTTCACCAATTGTTGCTACTCCCAGGCTTGACTGGCCACTTGGGCTGCAGCATGGTAACACCTTGGCAATGCACCACTGTCACCTCAGCATAAACAGCATTGGCAAAGTCAGATTTGTGACTTCTCCAGACTACCCACACATCATCATAGTCAAATCCATAGCTTTGCTAGCCACTCTGGGACAACACCTCAACAACCGACCACTGTCACCTCAGCATAATCAACAAGTACTAAACATGTCCTTACAGTAATAACTGCAGCCTCGTTCCACAGAACAGACTTACCAACTGCAGCCAAGTTACCACCGCAAGCATGCAACCTACTCGACCCACCACTGTGCTACCAAACAAAAATTTTGAAGACTTATTGTTCTTGAGCTGCATTCTGCATATGTAAGGGCCTTAATCTGGTCTGATGATCAGCTGGTGTCATGGACAACCAGTTGAATCCTCTTGCTTAATGCAGACGAAATTTTCATGGGATGACCACTTAAAATTTTCATTCCGTTGCCTTCAGAGTCTTAAGAAATTTGCAACAGCAGTTTTATTACATTTAATCTTACCAACGATTGTATGTTGAGAGAGAGAGACTTTGTTTTAGCAACTTGACAATTCTGCTACGTTCAAACTGTCAATTTTTTAGCCGTTGCCATGTTTTTAAATAATGTAATGCAAGAGATACCAAAGGGAGATGTTGACTAAATATTTTCTTCAGTTTTTGTGTTCTTACAGTTCTCCTTTTATAAGGTTTAAGGGAGTGTAGAATCATTAGACCAAGTGCTTTTGCCCAATTCATTATTTGTATGCTTTCCTGTGTTTTTGATCTAAATTGTATTGTGTAGAAGTAATAGAAATTATAAGGTGAGCCGATGGGAATATATATATATCATGATCAGGAGTCCTGTAACCCATTAGGGTCATAGGGCACCACATGTACTGCAGCCACAGTAGAAGTGGTGTGTCTTGGGCAAGATAGTTGGAGCTCAATCCTCTCCAGTTTGATTCAGAGTTTTCTTTCTTCTAGACTGGCTGCCAACCAAGGCTATAGCACCCAGTCTTACCTGCTATTTTAGCCATAGCTTGGGGTGGGGGAATAGAAGAGATGGAGGCATACCTTTCCCAAGGGTATTAGCACACAAGTGAATGTAATGGCCTCAACCAGAATTCAAATTGTTCCCTGATTCCTCAACCATTACTCTGCCATGTTCCCATATATAAAATAGACCGGGGGAAGAAATTTTGAGACATAAATAACAATAATAATAAATAAAAATAATATTTATTGTATATTATTGTTATGATGTCGATTTGGGGTTAGTAGAGACAAACGCCAAATAACACATAACAATAAAAAGGGTTTTAATAGGTTGATAAAAAAGGTACAGAAATTGCCTGAGTAGTCAATAACTAGCTCAGCTAAGAACTTATCTGTCTTCCCCCATGTCAACTGACATGCCACTATTTAAAGTCTTTGTTTGCAGACAAGTTCATCTTCAAGATGGGTGGTAGGTTTCTGACAACAATTAAGACTTTAGACCAAATAGATGCATGAGAAAAAAAAAAAAAAACAATTTTTGGACACGTGTCTTTTCTCAACAGGAAATAAAATGAATTTGGAGGTTGTCACCTGCTGTTAAGTGGGGTTTCACTAACTATTTTATTAATTGCCAAGTTCTTTTCATGCAAATCACAAACCTCAATAACTCAAATTTGCTTTAAAGAATTTTTGTCAAATTTAAACAATTTAGACATCAAAACAAAGCGTGAATTAGTTTCAATGTTTTATTAAACTTATTGGATTTATTATAAAAACTGCAGTCTGAAGTGATAGTGCAGATTAAACTAATATTAGTTTAACACCTCTGAAATTAAATAAAACTATTTAAAAAATTTTTTTTCCTCTAACATGTTGAAACATGGATAATGGAAAGGATCTAATAAATGTTGAAAAACAGAAAATAGCAAAGTTACTGAGTGAGGGAATGTCCATATTGGATATATCAAAGAAGTTTCGCAGAGATCATCAATTAGTAAAGAGGGCTGTTGAAAAGATTAGAACTAGAAGCAATGGAAGAGGCTTTAAGAACTTGTACGCTTGAGGGGAATGTAAACTAAAGTGAATTATAGTAAAACAACCACTTTTGACCAGCACTCAGATCTTTGAACAGGCCAGAATTGAGGGAATTAAGGATAAAAGGTATAAAATACTTTGCAAATTGGGATCTGTCAAGAAATTTCCTAGCCAAACTCCTCTTAGTAAAGCAAGTATTTTAAGTGCCAAAATTGGGTCAAGAAATACAATAAAATTGACTTTGTAAAGTAATTCTTGCAGAATAATCTCAAGTGACACATAATGGACATGATAGATGGGCCTATGGCTACAAGAAGGCAGTAAAGTGATGGAAGTGTGATGATATGGGCAGGAATTGTTGACTAAACCATTATTAGACTATTCAAAGTCAATGAAGGAGTTAAACTGAACAGTGCTAACTATTGTGATTTCATAGACAAGACTTTTAAAAATGTCCCGTCCTCACAGTTTCAAAGTGAAGTGCGTATTTATGCATGACAATGCACCGTCGCATGTATTTATGGTTGACTGAATTGTTTAAGTGTAAAAGGTTTACAGGAGAGAAGATAAGTGAATGGCTACCATCAAGTCTGAATCTGAATGAAAATCTATGGTCAATTGTGAATATGAAATCATACAAAGGTGGCAAACAATATGATGGCAAAACAGACCTTTGGGAAGTAATTAAAACCACCATGTTGGAAATTGAGCTTCCTGTAGTAAAGAATTTAACAAAATCAATGGACTTATATGTTTGTTATTTGTTCTATTATAGCTGTTGATCAATTGTTGATGATTACCTTGTTATTGAAGTAAAGTGTTTTTCTGGTTTTGCATAATAAGTTCATACTGCAGTTTTTATAATAAATCCAGTAACTCTAAAAAAACATGTTGAAACTGTGTAAAAATTTAATTCAAGCTTTGTTTTGATGTCTAAATTAATCCTTTAAAATGTGAGTTATGCGAGTTACATAACAACATCAGATGGCCTGCATGATATCTCCCCACACACACATGCGCTGGTCATAAAAGTAAGGCGTTCTATTTTATTAGGATAGCCCACAAAGCCAGATGCATATGATGGTGGCATGGCAGTACAAATTGGTGCTTCCCTCTGATAACTTATAATTTTTTGCTTTCTTTCAGATGGAGGCTGGGTGGAAGTTGGTCAAAATGGCATAGCATCAAAGTGTGTATTAAGCAGACCTAACATTTATGGAGACCAAACAGTGGATATGAGCACTCAAAGGTGATGGGTATTGTTTCACTCATGGTGATAGCAAAGTGCCTGAAAATGTGGGCAACTTATACTGGAACAGATTTTCTTTTATATCAGTAGCATGCTGACTCTTGATTATTATCAGTAGAAACTTTCCGAGAAGAGGAGGAGTCATTGTTTATATGCACACTATTGTCCTAATCTTTATGGCCATTATCACAATGCTTTAAGCCTTGTGTCCTCTAGATTTCATCAGGTACTTTTCAATCTGGATAACTTTCAAAGAATTTTGGACTGAAACCTTTAGATTAAATAAAGTTAAGTTTGAAATTCCTTGAAGGTTACCCAGTTCATAACAAGCACCTGATGATAGAAAATCTCAATCTAACATGTTTCACTTTATTAAAGCTTCGACAGAGATCAAGACAGATTTTTTTCTAGCTTGATCTCTGATAAAGCGAAACATGTTAGATTGAGATCTGTTTCTTGCTTGTTCTTTATCCTATCATTTTTATTTATATATATATATATATATATATATATATAAACAAAAAAATAATTAGAGTAAAATTATTAAATTGAAACATCCATTTCCTTGTTGAAGTTTTATTATTACATAAAGCATTGTCAACAATTAATTTGAACAGTATTGCTTTCATCTTAATTTGTGTTGCACTTTGGTGAAACTACTTCGACCATCATTTTATTGTTGTTAGTATCAGGTAAGTGCAAAAATAATTTTTTTTCATTTTTAAATTATAATGCTAATTCAAAAAACTATGATGCAATTACATGTATAAATGGAATCATAAGCAGACCTTAAACCTGCTCACAGAACTTATTGTGACCAGGTTGCTTCTGGCCACTGAAACTGAGTGTAAACAGATGCTGACCAAATACTCTTGGGCTGCCAAGTGTTCTATGGTGTGGCTAGCAGACCAAATATGAGTATGTCTTTGTTGGCTGTTCCAGCGCATCTCAAAATCTCTGAAGTGAATCAATTGACAGGGATCACCTAGTGGTTCATTGCATCCCCTATGGAGGAATTATTAACTTCTTCCAGTGAGAGTAGTAACTTGTTTCTTGTGTGATCCTAAAGTGGGTCTTCAACATCGAAACAAGGTAGATCTCTTCAAGACAAGTGACCACTTCAGAAAATCTAACAATTTATTGACAAAGAATATTACATAAACATGTATTATCTACACATCTGTATAGTAAAATGGTAATTCCAAATAGTGAGGCTTTCTGTTTGTTTTTTTGCTTTCACCAAATTACAGCAGTTTTTGGTTTTCCATGGTTGATATTGACAACTGCAGTAATAGCTCTCCCCTTGCAGTGAGTCTACATCTTTGTGTCTGTCCCATTCACAAAATGCATGTGTTCTTGTCTTTGAGAGATGTAGATTTTCCTAGTCTTTGACTAAAGATTTTCTGGTGACTATTGAAGTCAAATGCTTCTCTGGTTTATATGAGTGATCCTTTCTGGGCACCCCATTCCAAGCTTGGCATTAATATATGTAAAAATTTCCACCTTTGTCTGGATTATGTCAAGAGGTCCACAAAGACACATGGTCCCAGCAAAAACATTTTTCTAACTTTTAATCAGAAATTAATATTGAGGGACTCACTCCTCTCAAATAAGATTTCAGCTCAAATCCAAACAAATATTTCTCACACACACACACACTCTCTCTGAATATCTCATCAACTTCATTTAATGTTTAATTCTCAGTTTTTTTTCTCATTTAAATAATTATTTAAAAGATCTGAGTTGTCATGATTTATTTCTAATCACCATTTTGCTTTTTCATGTGAATGAATGTCGAACCAGGGCCAGTACTCTATTACACATGCAATATCATTTTCAAGTGAAAACTTTTCACTATTAATTTATGCTAATGGTTTTATTTTAAGTTTACTTTACACTGTTAAAGAGGTTTAAAAAAAAAAAAAAAAAAAAAAAAAAAAAAAAGAAAAAAAAAAAAAAAAAAAAAAAGAAAAGAAAAAAGAAAAAAAAAAAAAAAAAAAAAAAAAAAAAAAAAAAAAGAAAAAAAAAAAAAAAAAAAAGAAAAGAAAAAAGAAAAGAAAAAAATGCTAATTTGTTAAATTTTATTATAGGAAAGCAAAATAGGAAGTAAATAAGTGTTTGCAATAGAAACCAAGCACTTGACCAGTCAATACAGATCAGCTTCAATTCCAGAAATTTCCTAATGAAGAAGAGGAGAACCGTGAAATTGCAGAACGTTACAGACATTGCTGAGGGTCATTATTAAAGTGGACCTATACAAAGCAACACTAAATGTCCCAGAAGGACTAAACATTGACTATTCCACAGTTCATCAGATTGGAAAAAGTTTTGAAAAGAAAAAAAAGAGTACCATATTTGCTATTATTGAGTCTTCTCTGCACTTTCTTTGTGTAACAAAAGAACAATCCATTTTTTGATTGCATTGTCGCAGGATTAAAAATGAATTCCATGTGATAACTGATGACTTTATGGGCAGTGGTTTAACTGTGATAAGTACCAAACATTTACCTCCTAAACCAAAGTTGCACCTAAAGAAAGTTATGGTCACTTGTTTGTAATTGGTAAATGGAATGATTCCCTACTTCTTGAATCCTGGTGAAACCATCATAGCAGAGGGGTATTGCTGAAGAAATAGACAAAATATACCAAGAATGACAATGGTCATTTTTGATTGAGTATTGTCATAGAAGAATTAGTCAATCAATTTAGTCCAATAAATGATTTTGTAGAAATTGAATGAACTTGACTATGAAACTATCTCAACTTATTCAACTAGGCATCTCTTTGACTATTGCTTTTTAAAGTGTCTTGACCATTTCCCGCAAGAGATGGTCATTAACCACCAGGTGGCAGCTCAAAAGGCCTTTAAAGAAAGCATGTTCCAGGATTCTAGAAGTCTATGTTACCAGAATAGACTTACTTTTGGTAAGAATGCTTAGATTCTATTTTTCTTTTTTTATTCAGCTATAAATTTTATTCTAAGCCGATATATACTGCCTTAAAGTTGATGGATAAAAACTACAAATATTTTGGGATTAACCTATGATCCATGTGGATCAGAAATAAAGGATAAGTAATTAAAATTAAGATAAAAGAAATACGAGGAGAAAAAGGAAAGTAATGGTTAATTTTTTTGTTTTTATTTTTAGCCTCTTTATCTCCACCAATTACTCTTTTCCACACTGTTAACTAGAGAGCAGTCTTACTACCTAAACATACTTATCTTATATAACCACCTTTCATGAACAGGGCTGCCTCCTTAATAAAAGATGAGTGTTACTAAGTATAGGCATGAGAATAAATTCTTACAGTGTCAGTTAACTCTAGAGTGAATCAAATGGGGGGGGGGGTACTTTTGATTTGGTAGACATGGATTGTGACATTCCTTGCCACCATCTTAAGGGTAGAGAATGTAGTGGTTGTAATTGGTACCTACAGATTGGTTGAATTTGTTCAATTGCTTTTTGTTTTGGCATACGATGTTCAAATTTGTGAAATGTACAACAATGGCTGTAACCTGGCAAAGACCAAGAATTTAAATATTTTTGAAGGCAATTTTGTAGTAGTTCTATCTCTGATATTGAGCACCATTTAAAAACAATGTTAAATTTTATCTATTATTTGAATATTAAATGTATGTTACCAGGAAAAAGAAAAATGGTTTCTTAGTATGCATTCCAGTTGTTTGCCCTCACACAAAAAAAAGAGCATACATACACAAATTGCAAATATCAAGTACAAAAGGTAGCAAAGGTATGGGCTCAATTTGTTGCTGTGCATCCTTTCAAGCACAAAGAAAAGTGGTTGACTGTTTGAACCAATATGTAAAAGCAAATATGCTACACCTTTGATATTTTTGAAAAGTAAAAAAAAACAAAAAAAAACACACACACACAATCAAAAATCAATCAAGTTGCATCCACAAGAAAAATAACTCACCTGGTATAACTCCACTAGCCTGTGTAACAGGCACTGAACCTGGAACTGTAGTGGTTGTTGCTGTCGCTGTTTGACTAACTGTTGAGACATTAGAATTATGTAGAGATACAATAGGTGTATGATTTACAGGCACCGAATGTCGTAACACTGTGTGATGAGTTGTGGTAGGAACCTGACCCTGAGGCTGCTGGATGGTCAGAATAGTTGGAGTCTGTTGCCTTGGTTGACCTTGGGTGGTGACAGTCTGAAATAAAGTTCCCAAATGCCTAATAAGTAGACATTTTTGATGAAAGCATCTGTGTCAAGCAGCAAGATCAAATTCTCCTATTTTAACTAGGTGTATGATATACATACTAAGATACATACAGTATTTAAAAATAAAAAGTACCCTGTATTAGGATTTTAATCAATTGACCATCTATAAACACTCAACAGGGTACTACCCTTTAACGTCAGGATGAATGTTACTTAAAAAAGAAAATAAGAATCCGATTGCAAGGTTCTACAAGGCCCAAGAGCCACTTGAGGTAGATGATTACAGAGGCATCATTTATGGGGATATGCATGGAAAATAATGGCTAAACCTAGACTTGAACAGGCCAAGATTGCAATGATTGAGGAAACATCCCATTGGGAGTCAGTTCCACAAAGCAGCAGTTCGTGAGAAGCTGCTTGAGTGGAAATTACATCTCCCCAATGGAACATGAAGAAAACGAGGGTTGTTTTTTTTTTTACAATTTGCATGGCATGGCAGGTCTTATCTGTGAAATTAGAACTGGTGGAACTAAGGAATGGAGTTAGTCTGAACACTTTCCATAGAAATAGCGAGGGCAAGGAGAAGCTTGCCACGTTTCGTCTGTGGGGAAAGAGGTTGTAGGGTAGTGTGATTGGCTAAATCAAAAATGAGAAACATTGTGGTGTCTTAAAAAAGAAAAAAAAAAGTCTATTTACATGCAGACTATTGTCTTCATCTCTGTTGTTGTTATCATAACATTTCAGCTGTTGTCTCCATTGTTCTTCATCAGGTGTATGGTGATCTGAGTAACCTCAGAACTGAACACTTTATTTAATTTATTGGGGTAGATTATCCTCATTCTACTATTTTAAGGGATATCTCATCTAGTTCTTATTTTTAGTACTGCTCAATTATTACTTGTCCTCTTTCTACCGAGTTCAAGTACACACTGTCTGGCCCAGATATTGAACTCACAATTACTATGTCACCAAATTCATGAACCAACTCTATAATCCACTATGCACAGGCTGAAATATGCTAACAACAACAAATATGAGGACAATAGTGTGCATGTAAATAATGACAACTTATCTTAGAAATTCAGAGAGAAATGATATCTTTTTTGATCTGCATCTTGTTCACTAGTCATTATTATAAATTCTATAATTGGGTGTGATCATAGGATCACTTCACAAGTTAGTACCTGACCAGTCCTATCCACATACCAGAGAGGCATTCATTCACTTGCAAATAGACCTAGTGGAGCCCCTCCTTCTCAAGGTCAAACCACAGCTGTCCTCCAACTTGAAGGCTCACCACCTTGGTTACAAACACATGATTCTATTGGGGGAACGCTCCTCCTTGGCAGTTGATTTCAGTCTCGGAAACCCTCCAATTCTATGCCATAACAGCATTGGCTGAATATATAGATATGGATCCCAGTCTATTTCACTGTTTGAGATGCCTGTAGACCCCTACAAGGAGGTTCATCCACTCCTTGAAAAGCTGTGTTTGTAATTCTGCTGGATGTCTAGTCACTCTCCTTACCAGAAAATGCTGGTGAGGGAACCAATTTAGTCACTGATGACCTGACCTTATTACTGGTAACAGTAGCACTTGTACAGTGATCTGACAAATGGTCAATTGTGCTTGAATATTAAACCAAATGTAAAATTAAGCAGTGATAACAATTGATCCTTTCATTTGTTAATATAAACTAAAACAATTATAATAAACTATTTTTTTTACTGCTATAAACTTTATTTTTTTTTTTTTTTGGGGGGGTTCATGTGACAAAAGAAAAAAAAAAAGTGAAAATAACATCTTTCAGTCTAGATCATTGAAATTCTTTTTAAAGCAAATATACCTCATTAATAAAACTTTTAAAAGGTCTATGATGGTAGATCTTACTTTCATTAAAACATTTATTTATATATATATATATATATATATATATATATATATATATATATATATATATATATATATATACACACACATACATAATGCGATGGATAAATTGTCGTCTAAATTAGACAAAAATGATAACACTGACATCTCATTTTAACAGATATATTAACCAAAATTACACAAAAATATCTTGAAATACTAAAATTAAATTTATTAAAAAAAAAAAAAAAAAAAAAAAAAACGCCATTGGCTTCAACCAGATGACTTTGCAACTCTTCTGGACAGTCTCCTTGTCTAAGTTGGTGAATGCTGACATAATCCTTGCCTTCAGTTCATCTTTGGCGTTACAAGGAGTTTTGTTGGTCTTTTGCTCAACTGCACTCCACACATAATAATCAAGAGGGTTGCAATCAAGGGAGTTAGGTGGCCAGATGTAAGGGGTCGTGTGGTTGCAGAAATTGTCTGACAACTATGACTTGTGTGCCATGATTCAGAGTCCTGTTGACAGACATCAGGTCTTCCAGCAGCTACACTCTTGACCCAGGGCAGCACTAGCTCCTCAAAGCACTTGATTTAGGTATCCATGCAGAGCCTGTGGCCATGTGGGAAGATGAATGGAGGCATAACATTGCCATCACTAGTGATCACTCCAAATACTGTGATGATGACTGGATATATTATTCAACTCTTTCAGAATCCTCTGCACTGTCCACAGATTGACATCCAAACACTCTGAAATATTTGTATTAGATTTTCTGGTGTGAATGCCAAGCAGTACAACATGCCATTTCCAAATTTCTGGCAAAGTGAACTGCATCATCATGCTCTTTTGCTTGCAGACAGTGACAGCTTAACTGACCCTACTATAATGCGCAGTCAACAAAATCAAAAACAATGTGCATGCATGAAATTAAATATATAAAATGCTGACAATTTACCCGTCGCACCCTGTGTGTATGATTATTATTATATATATATAAGAAATAATGTCAAATTAAAAAAAATTTCATTAACTGCTGAAACTAACATTAAAAGATTTATATATTTATAGTTTGTATCATAAACATGTATTTCTAGTATTTCACCAGAACTGCCCACTGTATAAAGAGAATTATCTATCTCCATGTAATGGATTCTTTTGGTGACATTGAAAAATATTGCATACACAATGTCACAGTATATATCTATCTCTGAGTGACAGACGGTTCCTAATCAATTTTTTAAAAACTTTATCAGAGTTGTTAGCATAATAAAAACAACAGTAAAATGTTTAAGGGAATAAATTTAGGTCCATTCAATCTTTCAAACCGTGGTCTCCATGCCCTGCGACCATTATTTTGAAATTTGATTTTAATGGAAGTAGTACAGGTTGAAACAAACACTATTTATTTATTAAATTGTTTATTTACACTATCTATTTATTATATGACTAGCCTAGAAGCTGCACTTCAGATGGACTTTGTGCTAGCTCCTGCAGAGAGTTTTTGTGGCTTCAGTCTTTTACCGTCAGCATTCTAAATATGTAAAAGTTATAAGAATTTAGAAACAAAATTATTTTATTGCAATCTGTTATACTCAGAAAAGTATCAACATAAAAAATTTTCTATCCACTGTATTTAGCATTTAATTTAATATAAAATTCATTCATTTTTAAATTCACCATGTGCATAAATTGTTATACTCTACTTATGGACTATAATGGGTATGTCCCAATCTGTATAAATACAGTAGAATATACTGTATGTAGTAGTCATCAGGATTCTTTTGCAATTCCCTTCTAGCTCACCACTAGCAGTTGATCACTTACCACATGCCGCTGGCAAATCTTGTATGGTGTCCCTGTTATAAATATTATTGTTCATTATCAACCTTCATTTTGATTATTCTTATTCAGTAACCTTTTCCTAGGTTACAATAATAATTAAATTAGCTAGTGTCAAATGAATTATATTCAAAGAAATTGGCTTGATCCATTTGTAAAATAAAAAATTATATTTTTAGTACAATTTACACAAGGAATTTTGCGTGAAAATCAAAAGCAAGTAAACTATGCATACCATGTAAAAGACGTGAATAGGAAAGTACCAAACAGGTATTTGTCTTTGTTTGATTTTACACATTTAGAGGACACCATCTGACTGAATTGCATGTTAATTTGCTAATAAAATATTTATTTGACACCTTTATTTGGCATAACTGTTCTTTACATATTAAACTGATCTCTCGTCTGTATTTATTTTGCATACAATTTTTATTTTCTTTTAAAACCAACATTCTTTATGATTCCTTCACATAAAGTCACTCTTAAGACCCAAACTATGTAATATTTTGAATTTGTCACAGTACAAGTGCTAGGAAAAAAAAAAAAAAAAAAAAAAAAAAAATGGATACCATGCCCCACTTAAGTTTTAATTATGGTTTCATTAGAGTTAGACAATATCAATTGCAATGGTGACAAAAAATAATATCTAAATTTAACTTTAAATGAGTTACCTATTACATTTTTTAATTGTGTAAGACTATAGTATTACCTGTTACTTCAGGTTGTTTATGATTCACAGAGATAAAAAAAAAAAAAAAAAAAAAAAAAAAAATGGACGGATGTACATTGCACTTTATTTATATAGAAAAAGATTTATTGGAATGGGTAGCAAAACATTGGCTAATTGTCAATTGATTCAAACTTTATAAAATGGTAAGTAATAAGAAGTTCCTTATAGATGGTTCACATATTTTAATAATTTAGTAAATGTCTATAAATTTATGAATAAAAATGGTTCCACATTTATTTCTTTATAAATTGGTAAATGATAAATATTGCTTTGAATTAGTTCTTATTGTATTAGTTTTTAGAATTTTGTAAATATATAAATAGCATTTAATATTTTTGTTGCAAATATTCAAGAACAAAACAAATGTATAAAGTTACTTTCACATGCTTAGGTTTTATTCCAATTCTAACTTTTTAAAATAAACATTATCAAAGAGTGAAGTTAGTTTAAAAAGCAGTGTCATGGGAAAAACCATCTTTCTGACACTATCTTATTGTGAGCACATTTTTCCATGTTTGCTGAATTTTAATTAAAAATTCTGTATTGCATTCATATTGGCCCCAAATATCCAAACTGATGTCCTCTTGTCACTGCAGATGATGTTAATTTTGAGCCCTGCATATGTGTGGATCATATAAGATCCCTTCTACAATTTATCTTACTCATAATTTTTAATTTGCTAATTTTTGCCACAAATTCAATGAGAACAATGCATATATTCAATTAATAGATAGGACTTTGGAGTTGTAGCATAATTTTTTAAAACCAACCAATTAGATGTTTAACATACAAGGAAAGTTAAAATGAATTGGTCAAAAAGTAATGATCAAAAACAAGATGCGAATATTAGTCCAGATAATTCACGACTTCAAAGACACAGAAGACAAAATGAAGCGGATCCTTTCTCAGTTCGATAAGATTTGTTGTTCAAATCAAAATTGGGCTTTTGGAAAAAGGAATTTTTACAAATTCAACTCATAATCACTATATATATATATATATATAAAAAATCAACAGTGGTAGGTTTCTCTGTCCATAACTTATAAAATACAAAATGAATTCTGCCTTTATTTGAATGTCAATCCTGAAAGCAAGCAGACAAGTAACACCAGCATTCTGTTGCTTGAACATCATGGGAACATATCTTACAAGTCTTAAATTAAGCAGAGTACACAGATACTACACTAATCCAAAAAAAAAAAGTAAGGGGGAGTGGGCAGTATGCACTGATTGTATTTACTTGCTTCCCTACAGTGACAAGATATGATGGCTATTTCAATATGGGGAGCCCATATATTTACTTACAAGCCAAAGACAAAAAACGGTCCATTTGCCACAACCACTTTCACATTGGTATCCACCAAGTGCAATGAGGGTGGTATCACTGCAGGGTTGTGATCCATGGGATCAGGCATCCCTCAAAACTTTGACAAGTAATGTATGCATTACATTAGTATTCTGTTGCTTGAACAACATGGTAAAAATATCTCACAAATCTGACACTTGGTAGAGTGCACAGATACATCATTAACTCTTGATGAAAGTGCTGAATCATTTTTTTCACCCCAAGCAAGGCAGTAATGCCACTAAAACACAAGTGGTTACTGGGTGTGGAGGAATTAGGAACAGAAACAATAATGATGAGCAGAAAGAGGAGAGTAATCAGGACAGAAGATAGTGATTGACATTGCATTTAAGTTTTTGCAGATTAAAGTTAACTAGAAAATATGGAGCCGGAAGGGAGTTAAATACTTAAATACTGTCATTTTCTATGCTAACAATACATAAACGTGGATAACTACTTATATATGTGTGTGTGTGTGTGTGTGTGTGTGTGTGTGTGTGTGTGTGTGTGTGTGTGTGTGTGGAATGGCAAATGTTTAAATTGTGTAAAATGGGTTTTGTGAGTAACAATTTCTCTCATGTAAAAATCTATAAATTGAAAAATAAAGAAAATGTATTCTTTGGAACATATGTACAGAAACAAGGAAAGTTCACATACCTTGGCATTGTGTAATTTTCCAGGCAGGACAGCAGTGTTTGTTGTGGTTTGTGGCTGAAGCACACTTGCTTGACTGGCTTGTACCAAGACCAACTGACCCTGATCATTTTTGACCAGCACAGTACCTGGTTGGAGTTGGATACTTGTAGGAAGAGTAATAGCATTCTGAAAGATCCAAAATGAGAAGGAAAAATTCATAAGACAAAAAAAAAAAAAAAAAACAAGCTCCAGTAGAGAGATAGAGGGAGAGCACATTTAAAAATCAAAGTGTCTTATTAAAATTTCATTTAAGAGTTAATTAGTCAAGTGATGTCTATTTCTGAGATGAGGTATTGTAAGTATTTATGCTATTTACAATGTCCAGACTGTTGTCCTCATCTTTATTGTCATATTCACAATGTTTCGGCTGCTGTATGTTCTGGCCTTCTTCAGGTGATATTAGTTGGAATTTTGAAACAAACCCTTTATTTAGACCATGAAAGTAGATTGTTCTAATTCCACATGCCATGCCTTTCGATATTTCAGTTCCAGTTAATTCACCTTGGTAACTCAACTTTCCAAATTTTTGTTCTCTCTGCTGAGGCAGGGTATTGAACTCACAACTCTTTGGGTCAAGTCACTTTTGGATCACTCAACCAAACTACACACACGCAATATATATATATATATATATATATATATATATATATATATATTTTGAACAATAAAAAATATTGAAAAATTAAAATCTTCAGACACACTGGGTTGTACATTAATATTCTTTCATTTTTTTTATTATTATTTCATTTAGATTCCTCAACTAGTTTTGGCCAAAATGGCCATCATCAGGAGAAATATTTCTGCTTGCTGGTAGCAGTGAACTACAGAAATGAATGTCTTGATGGAAAAAATGAATTTTTGTCTGTAGTTTTCATTTATTTTTTTAACATGAATCTTAACATTCCTTGTGTTGGTCAAACAGTCTCTTAAGTTGTTATTTGAGATAAGAGCTGGATGGATCTATGCTGCTCTGAAATTTCCCTGGTCAGTTTGACAGTTTTATTGGTCCTGGAGAGGGGATGTGTCTCTGTTAAGTGTTTGTGTGTGTGTTATTTGGTTCTTAGGGAGTGAGTGAGTATGATATGTGTATGCGTGTATATTGCTGTGGGTGTGTGTTATCATTTGGCTCATTAGGGAGTGAGTGAGTATGATGTGTGTAAGTGTGTATAAGTGTGAGGCCTCAACACCTCCAAAAGCATGTCTGTCTTGTGTGGGTGAGAAACGTGGGTAGGTTTTGATTTGTAGTGTTATATATTAGTACTATCTATATTGTTAAATTTATGGTTTAGCCTGGCTGGATAGTGTGTTTTTAGACATTGTATCCACTTATTTTCATGGAACTCTAAAATCTTTCTAATGTTATCTGCTCTGAACTTATATATATATATATATATATATATATTAGTAATCCATTGGTATAATCCAAGTGAGTCCTATTAACACAATATAGAATTTGAAATATTAAAACTGACTCAAAGAGCACCCAAGGTTTATTTGCATTAAACAGAGCAAAATTTATCTTATAATTGGAATTAAGATACCATTAGTTATTTTCACCTGCGAATTTTAAAATTGTTTTACACTATCTGTTTATATTTCCTCAAGGACACATGGCACAGTGGATAAAGGCGTTAGTTAGATCCAGTGACAGGACCCAAAGAGTGTGAGTTCAATACCCGGTTAAGTGGAGAACTTTCAGAGGGAAAAATTAACAAGAGATAACTGACATCTATTAAACATGGCATGTGGAATTAGAACAGTCTACCCCAGTGAGCGAAATAAAGGGTTCAGTTCGACATTCCAACCACCTGAAGAAGGCTAGAGCGTACAACGGCCAAAATGTTGTAATAAATATGGCGACAAAGATGAGGACAATAGTCCGAATAATGTAAATATTGTTTGACACTGTTTATAGTATCGGTTTGTAGAAGGGGACTCTACATACATGATCGCCTAAGTGTGTATCACACATGGCACATAACTGACTGACTAGTTAATAAAAAAAAAAAAAAAAAAAAAAAAAATAGCCTTTATTGTTCAGACCAGATAGTACAAAGCAGTTCAAAAGAATGGTTTTCAAGTAGATACGGTAAATTGCCCTTAGCAGAATTTAAAAATTATATAATACAACAATCATTAGAGTTATTGATTATGTGTACATTTTTTTTCTCTCATTTCATCCCAAGAAAGGAAACAAAGCTACTAGAATGCAAGTGGTCACAGGGGGTGATAAAGAATGAGAAGATTGAAAATGGGGAGGATTAAGGAAAGGGTAGAAAAGGAACAGAGTCCAAGACAGATGATGGTGACTGATGTTGCACTCAAATCCTTGAAGATTGTAATTATCAAGGAAGCAAGATGTCAGAAGAGAGTTCCACAGTCAGGAAGTGTGAGGAAAAAAAAAAAAAAAAAAAAAAAAAAAACTATTAGAGTAAAAAATGACAGTTGCATCTAACAAGTTCAACAGTATAACTGCGAGACCAAGTTACCAATCTAGTAGCGCACTTAAATTCATGTAGTCAGGACATCAAGAAAAAAAAAAAAAAGCTTGTCTTGAACAGTTGCCATGAAAATATTTGTAGAAGAGACAGAGGGAAGCCATATCACATCGGTGAGAAAGTGACTGGGGACAAGATGCCTGGTCAGGATTTATTGTATTGCAGATCTGTCTTTGGATCCTGCCAAGAATCGAGATGCACAGTAGGAGAACCAGACTAGATATGACAGCAGTATTCAATACACTGACGAATAGCAGATCTATAGATGTGCAAGATGAACTCTGACAAGAAGAAGTTTTTGAAATGATACAGTGAACCAACTTCTCACCGTAGCAGCCATAATTCTCAGTATTAGTGAAAACAGTCTGAATACACAATTGGAAACTTATTCTTTTGCTGGAAACTTTTGCACACACCTAATGTATATACTGAATCCATGAAATGTTTTCAAAGTGCAGGTATATATGACACAAAAAAAGACTGAGACAGACATCTACCTAAACAGTAGCAAACAGTGGTCTATGCCGAGATTACCAAGAGAGCAAATATGCTTCCCAGTGCCACACCTGGGTCAGAAAGCAACAAAGTTCAGACAACTAATTAAGTTTCACACTATCCTGAGTGTCAGACAGCCAAAACATGTTTGTGTAGTTAAGTAGCAGCCCTAAGAGTGTGTGTGTGTAAACAAACACAGTATTAGTTATAGGTTTCTACTTATAACTCATCAATGCACATTGCCCCATTTTGGGGGGAATGGTAGGCATTAAGTAATTTTAGACAAATTCCTAATTCCATCTTTTCTAAGCAAAGAAACTGCTTTTGGTGCCTTTCATAGTATTCTGGGAGATTTTAATTTATTTCTTTCATTAAGAGAATTCTGTAAAGACTTAAATCATGTTAACTGAAAAAGGTTCTATATCTTGAGAATATGAAAGATATGTGAAAACTTTCCAAACAAACTGGAACAATTTTGGTCTAATCACTAGAAAATCATGTTGTCTAGTGTTATCTTGATGCTTTTTCTCTTCACTAGTTCTGGACATATGATCACAATTTTTAGTTGTGATAACTGGGAGTCATACTTATTTGGATGAATTGTATGGTACTCTAGAAAGAATTCATAATGGCAGACTCCCTTACAATCCCATCACACACACACATTCTTTGGATGAATACAGTAAGTAACAGTTCATTTCACTTGCCTCATATCTTATATTCTCATTGATGTAAAGTATCCCCTTTTCATTATGCATACATGCTTTAAATATAGAACTTGTTTAAGTTGGTAATTGCACACAAAAATAATCCAGTAGTATATTTTAAAAATTATTAATATATAGAAGACAAATATAAAAGCAACTACAATTACTTTATTTTTATGCAACTTAAGATTTTGACCAGTACATTTTTTGCACAAGAACTGGTAGTCAGGTTGCTTAAACAGTCACTTGACATTTTAATACAAGTTAACTAGTCAAGTTGTTAGTTTTCTTGAATACAGTATAAAATAATGTATTAATTTTTTTTTTTAAAGATGATTGACAACAGTAGTTGAGTTGTTTAAGATCTAGTCAAAATTGAGTAGGGTTGCTTATATAGTTTATGGCTATATCATGTTGAAACATGGGTTATCATCTAATCATCAATGTCAAGTGTGGTCAGAAAAAAAAAAAAACAACAACAAAAAAAAAACACACACAAAAATAAAAACTGTATTTCTTTTTGATATTTATCACATTTCTATTTTTTATAAATAAAAGCATCTGATGCTAAAAGTGTTGATAGCTTCTCTCCATCTTCAATGTTAGAATAAATAAATGAAAGCATGACAAAGATTTAAATAAGAAAAAAAGAAAAAAAAAAAAAATGATATGGCAGCTTTCTCAATACAAATCCCATAATTTTTGCTACGTCTAATGACCCCAGAATGAAATATATGTGGTTATGAGTAAATCATGATATTAAATCAAAATAATGTTAATAATATGAAAATGATATATAAATATGAATCAGTCATCAGTTGAGTATTTTTCTAAATATTCTTTGCCACATTATGAGTTTTTATAATAGAGGGAAGGGTGGAATAAAAATAAATAAATAAATACAGTACATAAAGTTTGATCTAAAAAAAAAAAAAAAAAAAAAAAAAAGGTAATTTTATGAGTTGCTTAAAGCACAATTCTAATTTTTTTTTTTTTTTATCTATTATGAATATCTATAGTGGAACACTTAAAAGAATAAGATAACAGCATCAACACACACACAATTATGTAAAAGCCATTTTATGACAACAGCAAATAATCTTGAAAAGAATTGTACTTTTTGAAGAGGTTTTCCTAATTATTTCTGGTCTACTTTTTTTTTTTTTAAATATGATTTGAATTGAGAGGATGTAAAGTAATCTTTTTTACTTTTTAAAATCTGATTACAATCATTTTTTCCTGCCCTTTTCCAAAGCATATAAGTGAGGTATTGTGACTAATGATAATTATTCAAGCATATTAACATCATTGTGTAACAAATATCACTGTATAGCAGCTCGGTAATGAATTTAAAAGTTCTGCATTTTAGATAAATTTTAGGAAAAGTAAAAAGGAAAAAAAAAAAAAAAAAAAATTGGTCAGATTT